AAGCCTACAACATAACTTAGAACAACATTAAAAATCAATGGTCCTAATATAGAGCCTTGAAGCACCCTGACAGAAACGACAATTTTACCTAGATAGTAGTAAGTTGCAATATTATACAAATTGATACAGTTAGCGCCACCCAAATGTGAACGGCAATATTGTACCGTGTAATTTAGACTTCAAATCATGGTCATCGTAAAATTCAATAGTTGTCAAATATATATGTCACTTAGAGCAAACAATGAAATGTAAACAAGTAACGTGAAATATGCAGGAGCATTTAACTGAGGCGCAAAGATCAAGGGCTGTAGCTAAATTAGAAGATAATTGGTCTTTGAATGAAGTGGATACTGATTTAAATGTCAGTAAGAGTTTTTATATTAAATAACGCTGGCAAGAAGAACAAAGATTACAGATATATCAGGCAAGGTGTCGGGAAGGTTTCCAGTGACGCGGAAGACAATGCCTTGGTCGAATTTATCCATCAGAATATCCTCTGTGTTACGCCACTAAGAAAAGTTTGATTTACTACGATAAAATCCAGATGAAATTTCCATAACAACCAAAATCCGTTCACATTTGGGTGGCACCAACTGTACGTACCTATCAATCCTATCATTAAGATATATGATTTAAACAAATTTTTATGCTAACTTATTTAATTGTTGCGGTGAAGTGGTTTGGTATATTGCAGCAAAAACAAGAACGTCGATCACATTATGTAAAAAATAATAAATTAATTTCAGTTACACGTCCTGAAATAAAACATTGTTGATGGAAACTTATCTGCAATAGATTGAATCGAAGAGGAGGGTTTCAAAAGCTTTTAAGTACCANAATCCAACACATTCTCTGCGACTGTAACTTCTCTTATCTGGACCGCCTGTCAGATAGTCCAGATTTAACTGAGTTCTTTTTTATTCAAGAATTTGAAAAAACACCTCGGTACATAATTTTGTGACACTAACAAGTTGAAAGGGATGCCCATTTTGTAGTAGAACTATATATATTTTTTTGATGAATTAAAGTTGTTGCAGAGCAGGTGCACAAGTACGTTAGTATCGACATAGATTACCTATGTTAAAAAATAAAATTTTCTAAAAAAAGTCTTGTTTCGTTGTTAAGGAAACAACTTTTCTAATGCCTTCATAGTTTCAGTTTCCTTACATAATGTCAATCATATTTTTTTTCAGGGTCGCTTTCGCAGGCTGCGACAGTGCGATTAGCAGATAACATTTATGTCCCCTTCTCTCAGTTGTTGCCAACTGTTCATCCTGATGATATAGTGGTGGATGGGTGGGACATAAGCTCTCTCAATTTAGCAGAAGCTATGGAGAGAGCACAGGTGTTAGAGCCAGCTCTCCAGCAGCAACTGAAGCCACTAATGCAGGGGTTGAAACCAAGACCATCAATTTATTTATCAGAATTCATTGCTGCCAATCAGGTATGTAGAAATCATACAGGGTTCTTTTTTACTTACAATTTTTCCACTTCTTGATCTGTGGTATCTTCAGCAATAAATTCGCATCTTTTCCATAAATGAATTTCTGTATAACATGTCATAAAGTAAAGTGAATAATGACTGAAAGATTCAGAGCTAGGAACTTGTTCACATTTACATTGACAATTCTGCCAACACTGGCCAATAATACCGTCTGCAAATATGTCGCTGTATTGCGTAATATAGAATTTCAAACTATTTGCTTTTGTCGATTACAATTGTAGTCGACATTTGCATTTAAATATCATTTTGTTTCTTATTTTAGAAATCTCGGGCAGATAATGTAATTAGTGGCACAAAGGAAGAACAATTAGAGCAGATCATGAACGATATTGCTCAATTTAAAAACTCGACCAACGTAGACAAAGTCATAGTATTGTGGACTGCAAATACAGAATGTTTCAGCAATGTTATAGAAGGTGTAAATGACACAGCTGTAAACATAAAGGCAGCTATTGCCAAAGGCCACCCAGAAATTTCACCGTCAGTATTATTTGCGTATGCGTCCATCGCGATGGGTTGTACCTACATCAACGGGTCTCCTCAGAATACCTTCGTGCCAGGAATAATAGAGTTTGCTGAAAAACGAGGTGTGTTCATTGCTGGAGATGACTTTAAATCCGGACAGACCAAGATTAAAAGCGTTCTCGTGGACTTTTTGGTTGGAGCTGGCATCAAACCTGTCAGTATCGTAAGCTATAACCATCTGGGAAATAATGATGGTAAAAATTTGTCATCACCCAAACAGTTTAGATCCAAAGAGGTGAGTACAATGAAGATGTCAAAGCAATGCTGCAATTTTCACACAATTAAGTGCAATATTTACAGTCACTATTCAAAATGTAAATAATATTCTGAGATAGATTTATCTATCTCTGTTCATTGAAATTTTCGTATATTCTTTCCATTTTTTAATTTTTTAATTCTAATTTTGTTGAAGAGCGCGCTTAATTTTCGAATTGTGTTAACAAATTACTGATGACATCGGTTATCTTCCAGATTTCTAAGAGTAATGTTGTTGATGATATGGTAGAGTCAAACGATATTTTGTTTTCTCCAGGAGAAAAACCAGACCATGTTGTGGTGATTAAGTATGTTCCATACGTAGGTAAGCATAAGCAAAATGATCAAGTTTTTCCTTTATGTATTATCAAATATTAAGGACCCTTAATTTTCTTTTAACAATTTTCCAATTCTTGCGGAATGGACAACAATAGAAATGATATATTATATAATCATATAGTGAAATTATTAGAAGTCCCTTAGAGGTTGTTAATTAATAATTAAAATTTGGCGCGCAAAATTGTTTGAAATGACTGTTTGCTGCCGCGCTAATTTGAGACGTCATTTAGTGCGATTGAGAATCGAAAATATGAATGACAAGAACAGGAGTATAATAAATAACAAAAGTTCTAGATCTAGAGACAGCCAGTTTGTGCGTTTCTTAAATAGATTAGGTTCTTTATCGTTGGCGTAGAAATTGTAGACAAGACGCCATATCGCCGATGCAGGTTGTGTTGTCGGTCGCACTAAATCACATCATACTGCATTCTTGATCACGTGACGAAATTAAAATTTCTACATAGCTTTAAACATCTGTAATTAATTTGTAGACAAAGAATGCATTTTACTAAGTAAGTACAGGTTTTAGTCAATATTATAATTATATTTCTAATCTGTCGATGATCTAAAATTTATATCAAGGTCATTTTTGTGTTAATATTTCCTTGATTCCTTGTAATATTATTGCGAATATTTTTGTTTTGTTTTTTATATCCACAATTGAGTCTAGAACGCATAGTAATAGTAGTTTCACGTGTTTAATTCGTACGGTTTAGACCATATATAGTTAAAACTGTGTGATAGTGAGTTGTCCATTAGACTTTACAATATAACGTAGAATCTAAATATTTCAAACTTTAGAAGATCTTTTATTCTATTTAGTAGTAATAAGGTGTTTTTAACCGTAGGCGAAATCTTTCCTGCGACGATATGTTCTGCTATATTTTTGATAACACAAGCGCATTATAAACATGTTGACATGAACAGTAAAATAAAAATTTTACTGCTATTGTTACATTTAATAATTAGTAATCTCAAACGCCCATATGTTTTAATACCACTTTTTTAATATTAACGTATATA